TATGGGGTTTCCCTTTTATGTTACTTGTTGCTTCTCCCTTGCTGCTTTTAATATTCTTTCTTTGTGTTTAGTCTATGTTAGTTTGATTAGTATGTGTCTTGGTGTGTTTCTCCCTGGGTTTAATCCTGTATGGGACTCTTTGTGCCTCTTGGACTTGATTGACTCTTTCCTTTGCCATGTTGGGGAAATTAAAAAAATTTTTCTCATACTCTTTGTTTTTCTCTTCTTCTGGAACCCCTATAATTCAAATGTTGGTGCATTTGATGCCGTTCCAAAGGTCTCTGAGACCATCCTCAGTTCTTTTCATTCATTTTACTTTATTCTGCTTTTCAGAAGTTATTTCCACCATTTTACCTTCCAGCTCACTGATTCGTTCTTCTGCTTCAGATATTCCGCTATTGATTCCTTCTAGAGTATTTTTAATTTCAGTAATTGTCTTGTTTGTCTCTGTATGTTTATTCTTTAACTCTTCTAGGTCTTTGTTAATTGATTCTTGTATTTTCTCCATTTTGTTTTCAAGGTTTTTGGTCATCTTTACTATCATTACTCTGAATTCTTTTTTCAAGTACTTTGCCTATTTCCTCTTCATTTATTTGAACTTCTGTGCTTCTAGTTTGTTCCTTCAATTGTTTAGTATTTCTCTGCCTTTTCATTATTTTTTTTAACTTATTATGTTTAAGGTTTCCTTTTCCCAGGCTTCAAGGTTGAATTCTTTCTTCCTTTTGGTTTCTGCCTTCCTAAGGTTGGTCCAGTGGTTTGTGTAAGCTTCCTATAGAGTGATATTTGTGCTGAGTTTTTGTTTGTTTTTCCTTTTGTTTGTTTTTTACTTTTAAAAATTAAAACTATAAAAAAGAGAAAAGAAAAAAAATAGAAGAAGAAAGAAAAAGGAAAAAAGAAAGGAAAACTCTACAGAACTGCAAAAGCCCAACATAGAGGTAGAGGTTTATAGCAACAATAAAAAGTGTGACTGAATATACACATATACATATACACCCATAAGCAAAATCAAAACACTCCAACAAAAATAAAGTACAATAGATTGACACAACAAACAAAGGCAACCAAAAAGTTTATCTATACCAGAACAAAATTAATTAAAGCACAAACTGAAAAACAAACCTAGAGCAAGGTGCCAATTGAGGGAAAAAAGCAATGAAAATAAAACTGTAGAGAGGAAAGAAAAGAAAGAAAGAATAGACATGCAAATTGAAATAGAGGTAGATAAAGAAGATATATATACATTAAAGATTAACTGCAAGGATAATAGAACAGTAGAAAAACCAAACAAAGGAATAATTGTAGAAAAAATAAAAATAGGTTTAAAAAATTAAAATTGCCAAAAGAGAAAAGAAAAAAAGGGGGGAGGGGGGAAAGCTCCACAGAACTACAAAAGCCCAACATAGAGTCAGAGGTTTATCACAGCAATAAAAAAAAAAAAAAGTGATTGAGGGGAAAAAAATAGTGCCAGTAAAATTGGCATCTACAACAGAGGTGGGAAATAAGGGGAGGGGAGGGAAAAAAATCCAAAAGAATCTACAGAGCAAGTGAAAACATAAGAATAATAAATGTTTTTGAGTCACTGCTGTCAGAATCCTTTCCCTCGGGAGTCACAGTCCACCTCACCTCCCTAGGATGCCCTCCAATGCTGTGCTGACCTGTGGACATGCTCTGGGGGAAGCTCAGATTCAAATTAGGTCCTACTCCTCTGTGTTCTTGCCTCCAATGTCCACAGCTATCAGAACTAGTGCATTTCCTTTTGTGGGAGCTCTCAATGACCTTTTACATATTCCACAGACATGGAGTCTGAATGGTTGATTATGTGGATTTAATCTGCAGCTTGTACAGCTGGTGGGAGGGCTTGGGGTCTTCTTCCTTAGTCACATTGCCCCTGGGTTTCAGCTGTGGTTTTATTTCCACCTCTGCATGTGGCTCATCCACTGGGGTTTGCTCCTGAGGCTGCCCTGGAGGACTTGGGTTTGCCCCTGTGAGGACCAGAGGTGGAGGTGGGGCAGCTGCTTGGGTCGCAGGGGCTCTGGCAGCACCAGGTACTCAGGGGAGCTGGCTGCTGGGACAACAGGAAATACAGTGCTCTAGAAGGATACGGTAACCAGTATTGGCCAATAGGCTCCAGTATTCTTGTCTGGAGAACCCTCCACCCTGAAAGAGAAGCCTGGCAGGCCATAGTCCACAGGGTCGCAAACAACTGGACACTACCAAAGAGACCCTGCACACATAGACGCAAGGCTTATTTTGGCTGCGGCAGCTCTGCCCCAGTGAGAGTTGAGTGTGAAGGTGGCACAGCTGCTTGGCTTGCAGGGGACCTGGCGGTGCCAAGTGTGCAAGGTCATGGACTGCCTCCACCACAGGAGTTATGGCCCTATCTGAGTCTTTTCTCGAGTCTCTTGTAGCTGGCGATCTGAGGGCCTCTTGGGCCAGCTTTCTCCATCGTTCCACCTGTTCAGGCACTTAGAGGGCTCCCTTGCCTGGGGTCCTTCTCTGTTGTTTGATGTGTCAGGCACTTAAAGGGCACCCTGGGTGAGGTCCTACTCTGTAGTTGAGTGCATCAGGGGTTTGATGGGCCAGTCTCTCTGCTGCTCAGCTACCAATGTATTGTGCGTAGTTTTATATGGTCTTTTCCTCTGGTCAGATACTCCTGTCCTCTCTCAGCTGATGTTCTGCATGCATTTCTGTGTCTGAAGGTGTATTCCTTATATATCAGTGGAGAGAGATGTACTCCCCCTCCACCTACTCCTCTGACATCTTATTCTCCCCTCAGGCAATTACTTTTCAGCACAGAGCAAGCAGCTTAAAATGAAACATGAAAAATCCTTGCCTTTGAACATCCTCTGGCCATTGGTGGCATTTAATGCACAGCTTTCCATGGCTAATTCATTTCAATGTATGACAAAAACTACTGTAATGATGTAAAGTAATTAGCCTCCAACTAATAAAAATAAATGGAAGAAAAAAAAAGAACAAGAAAAAAAAAAAAAATAAAGTCCATGGGTTTGCAAAGCATGGGACATGATTGAGTGATTTCATTAATTGATGTATTTATTTATTTGGATGTGCCAGGTCTTCACTGAGGCATGTGAACTCTTAGTTATGGCATGTGGGATCTAGCTCCCTGACCAGGGATTGAACTGGGCCCCCTAAACTGATAGCACAAAGTCTTAGCCACCAAACCACTAGGGAAGTTCCTCCTTTGTTTTTGTCCTACTTTTTCAAATTTATTTCAACAATATATCGAAAATATTTGGAAATTCCCATTTGCCTAGTGAGACAATAGAGATCTTTTGAAGAGAAAGAGGCAGTAAATTTATTCATATGCCTATTTGACAACAAAAAATCTAAGACACAATATTCACTTTCATACCTAATATTCCTTGTACATCATTATCTTGAACTGTTCTTTCTTACCACTTAGACTGTAACATAGCACTGTGAGTTATAGCAGGCCATTGATTTTTATATTGGGTTTCCCTGGTGGCTCAGATGGTAAAGCATCTGCCTGCAACACAGGAGATCTGGGTTTCATCCCTGGGTCGGAAAGATCCCCTGGAGAAGGAAATGGCAACCTGCTCTAGTACTCCTGCCTGGAAAAATGCCATGGATGGAAGAACCTGGTGGGCTACAGTCCAAGGGGTTGCAAAGAGAAACAACTGAGCAACTTCATTGATTTTTATTCTCCCCTTTAAGATCCAGTTCTCTCTTAGATAGGTGACAACCATGCTTACCATAGCCACTGGCAAAGCAATTATCAAATACATGTCTGAAAGGGAAGTTTAATTGATAGACAGGTTTTATTTACCAGGTTGACCTAAGATGGCCTTAGAATTATAGCCTTCAATATGATGAAGCAGAATTGCAATTCATACATTTTATCACCATGCAAAATATTTATTATGCTGTGTAACTACTCATTGGCATATGAAGGGTTGGTGTTTATGTGTCAGGGCAGGTTTTTACATAGTAGTGAAGGATTGTTTGACCTTTATCGATTTGTACGTAATTATCTTCTTATTTCTGCTTGACAGCTTTCACTGCTACCTGTAATATGATTCCTCTCATTGCTGTAATGGAGATAAATGCCATTCCTTCATTTTTCTCATAACCATGAATGAGTTATGATATCTGTTGTAGACATCTGTTTCACCTCCCCCGCTATCCCCAAAATGCTAGTGAATATACAGACCCAGAGCCAAGTTATAACCTTTGAACTTTTCATCACTCAGATGTTCTGTTTCATATACTTTATAGGATTGGAAAGCTTCCTCCTGAACGTGATCGCCTGTGACTAGTTTGTAGGAATCTGTCACCCTTTCACTATATAGCCATCATGAAACCCCAGCTCCCTGAACTGCTGGTTCTGGTGTCCTGGAACATCAGTGTCCTGAATTCCTTGTTAGAAAGCTTAATGGTGTTATGGCTGCCATTCTGTAGAGCTGGACATTCTCACTTTTTCTATAAAATTAATCCAGTGCTCCAACTTGCTTATTCTAACAACTTTCTTAATGACTTCTTGAGATATTTTGCAGCTCAACTTCTGGGTGGGGGTCTTCTGGCTGGTGTCTGACTTCTACTCTAAGACAGTCTCTTCCATTTGTGAAATCTCACCAGCTAGCTGGTGACTTGGATGGTAAAGGATCTGCCTGCAATTCGAGAGACTCAGGTTCCATCCCCGGGTTGGGAAGATTCCCCTGCAGAAG